ATTAAAAATATTCGCGGTTTAATGGAAAATTTGACTTGTATTTAACACAAATGTTATGGTCTATTTCAGCCACTAAATGTTACCCGATGACCATCAAAATTGGAAGGCTTCTGCCCAGCTCTAAGCTCTAGCCCCATACTAAGTTCTGCGTCGATTGGTCCGTAATTGTGACCTATAGAGCAACTGCAAAATCAGGAAATTTTTCTGTTTTTGATCCATTTCAACCCCTAAATATCGTGCGATCATCTCCAAAAACAATAGTGTTCTATTCTGACCATAACCCCACCTAAATTTTCAATTTCATGAGGATCGGTTCATAATTGCGATCTGTAGCTTGATTACAAATTAACATGGACAGACGGACGGACATACATAGCTAGATCGACTCAGCTCGGCGAGTTAGGAAGACCCATATATACTTTCCTATGTGGGAAAACAATATTTCGAGGTGTTACATAATTTTTACCCAATCAAACTCATAATACCCCTAACACATAGTGTTGTAGGGTATAAATACTCTATGTTTGCTACAAAGGGTTGTAATATTTTTCCTTAAATTGGACCATATTAGATGTAAGACTATATCGATCCACTTCTTTTACTAACACTCCCAATTTTTGATCGAAACTTGGAAAATGTATACATCTAAAAAAATTAAAAAATTTTCTCCCAAGTTGTTATATTTTTACTAAAAATAAACCCTGTTCCAAGAAGGATCTATCTCCAATACACCCACAAAACTTTGCTTAAATGTTCCATATGCTATTTTAGGACGCCTGTATTGTGTATTTTGAATTTTTGATTTGTTTACCCTATCTCCTAGAAGTAATAAGACATCCGGATATTGGAGCAAAATTTCGAGCATTTAAATTAACGTTTTATAGAATTAAAGTATGCGTTTCAAAAACCCAAATTAAGTTTATCCTTCTTTATTAAAAAAAAAAAAAGAAAAAAAAAAAAACATTGTATACGACACAAAATATATATTTCATTAACCAACACCAAATTCTGTCCGTTGCTGGAAATCCCCCTAGATATTGAACGAAATTAAGAAAGTTGATAACATTTGACTAACATGTACTTTTGATTCGTAGGAACTTTGGTGTTGAAAATCGTCGAAATGTCTCCATTTTTTGGTGTAGCCCATATATAACATTAATGTAGTTCAAGTGGTTTGACAATTTTTTTCCACCGAATTCGCTATTTAATTTATGTTTACCGGTGAGTAGAGAACATCTCTGCAAATTTCAAATATAGGTTATATAAAGGGTGAAATTCTACGCAAGGAGTTCTTTGTGGGTATTTTAGCGCCTGTAAGAGAATTGTCTATATCGGTCCACGATATAACGGTACCTCCCGATATTCGGCATTTTAATGATTTTTTGCGACATTTTTGACCGAAATTGTTTCAAATTTCGTATTTAAAGTTTGAAGCTCGTAATGAGTACTACGACATATGAAAGAAAATTTTCTATGCAAGTCCACGTCTTCGTATAGCCCACATATAACGGTGCCTCCCTTTATCCGATATTTTGATGATATTAGCGACATTATTCAACGGAATTATTTAAAATTTCGTATTTGAAGTTTGGAACCGATATTACAGCCAATGACAAAAAAAAAAAAAAAAAAATAATTACGCAGGTCCACGTCTTCCTATATCCTCCATATAACGGGTTTCATTTTAGTTATATTTTTCGACGGATTTTTTTTTTTTTTTGAAATTATTCAAGATCCTTCAAAATGGTGGAGAGTATTAAAAGTTCGGCTCGGCCGAAGGAATGAATTGTGCTCAGCGACGTCGGGCATCTTTGGCACAATAAGTATGTAGATAAAACTTATATACATACAAACCAAGCCGCTCCAACAGACCCATTTGAAGACAACATTGGTGCTTTTTTTGTAAGATACCGACCGATATGTTGGGTATGGTATCCAAAACGAAACCAAAAATGTTCGCGACATTTAATATTGAGCTTGGAAATTTCATAGAGGCTTTGGAATTCTTCGAAAATCTTTGGTTTAAAAAAAAAATTGGTAGAAAAAACAGTTTTCCACAATCAGACCACCGATCAACTTGGAATGAAAAAATGTTTCACATCAGCATCTAATATGTCTGTGGAAGCGTAGCACACTGACACCAATTGTTTTGCAAGTTGTGAGAGATATACTATTGAAAATAGTGATCCTTTGTGGAGGAGGGTAGCAGAAGTTGTAGGCCTATATCTAACATCTTCACACCATATCTTGTGTTAAAAGAAATATTGGGATGCGTAAAATTTGAATCGAAGGAGAATCCGAAGCTCATTTAGGATGTTTTGCTTTTCAAAATGTTGACCCATTGCGGAGGAGGTACCAGAGGATGTGGCGTCCGTCCTTACACCACATCTTGTGTTAATAAAAATGTTGGCATGTGTGAAATTTGAAGAGAACCGAATGCTTATTTCGCATTTTATAAGAATTATTATTGCTCGAAATTTTGACCCGTTGTTGGGGAGGTAACAAAAGGAGCGGAAGACATATTCTATCTTCAAACCTAGTTTTGTGTTTGTTGAACTATAGTTTGAAATTCATACCACTTTGTGTGGGAGGTACCAGAAGGAGGAAGCTGATCTGTTCCATCTTCACATCAGATCTTTTGCTAGTGGAAGTATTATAATTTGCGAAGAGAATCGGATGCTTATTTCGTATTTTATTAGAGTTATAATTATTCGAAATTTTGACCCTTTGTGTGGGAGGTATATGGTGGAATGGACCGGTAATGTCCATTTTAGCACCTAACATAGCACTGATATAAATATTGGGAAGTATGCACAAAACTTATTTTTATACCCTACAACACTATGTTTGATAGGGCCAAAAATTATGTAACACCTCGAAATATTGGTTTCTCACATAGGAAAGTATATATGGATCTTCCTATCTCGCCGAGGTGAGTAGATCTAGCTATGTATGTCCGTCCGTCTGTCCATTTTAATTTGTAATCAAACTGCAGGTCGCAATTATGGCCCGATCGTCACTAAATTGAAAATGGAGGTGGGGTTATGTTCAGACAAGAACCCTATTGTTTTTGGAGATGATTGCAAAATATTTAGGGGTTGAAATGGACCAAAAACCGAAAAATTTCCTGATTTTGCAGTTGCTCTATAGGCCACAATTATGAACCAATCGATGCGAAAATTTACATGCAGTTAGAGTTTAGGAGTGGGCAGAAACCTACCAATCGGACAATAATTAGCGGGTAAAATAGACTCTAACTTTTATGTAAGAAAATATCAAAATTTCCACTAAACCGCGAATATTTTCAATCCCAGCCAAATCACAAATACATTAAAAGATCACTTCTGACCATTACAGTGGTGCTAATAGGCAAGAAATCGGATATATAGCAAAATAGGTACAATATATATGTAAAATAATTGATCTTATTTATTCTGCTTCTAAATCAAGAACCGCTGGGCCAATTTTCATAATTCCCATCAATTCGAAAGGGTCTCTTGCCCAAAAACGATAAAATTTAAGAAAATCGCGAACAAAAATATGCCAGTTAAAAAGAGAATACCATGTGTCGAATTTTTTTCAATTTTTGTCTATTATTTATCGCATGCGATTTTTTCAATTTGACTTACAAATTTGAACTGTAAATTTTTAAAATTTTTACACCCCCAACACTAAGTTTTGAGGATATTATATGCATATCGCAATTATCGTCCGATCCTCACGAAATTTTGCATGGGGGTTTGGTTAGGGTCAGAATTAAAGCCTATTGTTCTTAAATGTACATTTAGAGATGCAAATGGACTAAAAAAAATTAATTTTTCTAATTTTGTAGTCGCTCTATAGGCCACAATTGAAACTAATCGACACTGAATTTCGCATCAGAAGATAGTTAAAGTCAGAGAAGAAGTCTAGCATTTTGGACAACAACTTTCGTGTGAAATTGTTTTGATTACTTAACAACAACAACGGGTCAAAAAACTAAGGGCAACCTCTGGGCTCTTTGACATTATTTCAAAAACGAAAACTTCCAAAATGTATTTGGATATAAGGGGACTTTGAACATATTGTAGTGTTGTAGGGTATCACATGGTCGGTCCCGCACGACTATAGCCTTTGCTTACTTGTTTATAGATATAGAAGAGCTAGAACTCAGTACAAATTCAAAAATTGAGAACTGTTTTTTGAAGTAAAAAATATTTAATTCAAAATAGTAAATTTTGGAAAATCTCGCTTGAGAAATGCGGCTATAAACTCAGAATAACCATTATCGGGAGGAACGATTATATGAAGAGCTATAGGCAAACGAGGACCAATGTAGCTCATTTTCAATATCAATTATACCATCAAAGCGGACTCTCAGACATATGCTTGGAGGTTATATACCCTCCTTTCTCTGGTGAAGGGTAAAAAATAATTTTTATCCTAAAATAATGTTTTTTTTGGTGCACAGGTCCCGTAGAAGACATGAAACGCCATTAAATTCTAAAATCAATATTTAAAGGATATTTCTTGAAAGTAAATGGACAATAGGGACATTGTAAAGCTAAAATTGTTTTGATTTTCCAACAATTTGAGGTTATATCTCAGAGGACATATAAAAGGTTGAGAGGTCTTTGAAATACAATCGACAAATCTGGGGAATATAGGTCATCAAATATGCTCTGTATGGAGTCTCTTATTTTAAATTAAAACAAAAATAAACTCACAGATGGTGTCCCAAGTGAAAAATTTTTGCTCCTCGAATTTCTTCAATTCCTGTTTTGTGAAAGTTTTTCCCTTGGAGATCAACTCCTTTGATAAATATTAAGAATCCTTACAAGGTTTCGTTTCAGATTGTGTGAATATTTCAAAATTGAAAAACAAATCTGTATTTTTTTTTTAAATCTTAATGGAAGAAAGTCTTCCCCCTAGACCTCACATTGCAGACAACGTTGACTGGTTGGTAACCCTCGTAAAATTTAAAACTACTTTTATCTTTTAAAAAAAAAAAAAAAAAAAATTACCAACGGACTATTTATGTAATATACTGTCAGTACACATCACGTTCTCTGTTAAATTCTTAGGGTATTCTATTTTGAAATTTTTACCATGTTTGGATTTGTTTCCGTTTTTGGATTTTGGAAAATATTTGACTCGTTTCTTAGGCTCAATGACGAAAGTGCCATTTTTTGTAACATACCTGAGGCCCCTCGGAAAAACCCCCTTCAGCCTTACAGTATGCAACAGGAGCGCTCAATTTTCTTTTCCGTCTTTGGCATTTCCTGCAGGGCCATTTCCACATGTTTGCGGGCCAGCCACGATTGTTTCTGCAAACGATTGATGACAATGCGATAGGCACCAATGATATCACTTCGTGGACCATTCTGGGAGGCTTGCATCAGCATTTCCGTTGTAATGCCCAGCTCTTCGAGTATCTGACGTGCCTCCTGTTCCAGCGGTGGCAACTTAGCCATATCCTCAGTATCAGTGGGAAACATTATACATGGCCCCGTCTCATTATCGTAATTCTTGAAGAGGGGACACTCCGGGGGCACTGCCGCCAAAATATTATTCCACTGCATCTTCTGTTGACCCAGCGTGCCATTATTGAGCTGTCGTTCATTTTCCGTTTCCATTGGACCGACTTTTTTCTTTAGAGTGCCACACAAAAACGAGCGTTTCGGGGTATTGCTGCGCGACTGCTCCTTGATGGGTTCTAGCGGCAGATCTTTGGCCAATTCTATGGGTTGAAGGAAGTTATCGACAAAGAAGCCGTCTGTGCGTTTGGTGTTCATATTTATTGGCGGTTTATTTGTTAACTCCATGTAGCGTTCGCGCAGCGAATATTGTTTGCGCATGCGCCGCGATTTCGAACGGACCCAAAAGCCGGAACGTTTGGCAGATTTGGTGCGTAAATTGATTTCGTGTTGCATCAGTTCGGCGCTGAGTTTTGGATGGGTTATAAATTGACTGTTCAGCATGTCATCGATGGTGGGTCGACGTATTGGGATATGGATTAAAATACGTTCTGCCGGAGAGAGGGAGGAATTTCATATACCGGGAAATAAGTTATAATCTCCAAAATATGTACTTACGTATTAGTCTTATACATGGCAGACTCAGTTGACCCGGCAAGAGATAGTCCCCCTTCAATATGGCTGCCTTTAGTCCCGGTATTGTGGGCGCCCGAAATGGCATATTGCCCACCACCATAAAATACAATAATATTCCCAATGCCCAGACATCTACCGGTGCTCCAATATAATGATCATCAGAAAATAGTTCCGGCGCCGCATAGGGTGGTGAACCACAAAATGTATCCAGTTTTTGATTGGGGCCTGAAATTTGAAAGATATAAAATTAAAAAAAGTGGTATAGGACTTAAATTCTTCCACAAAAAATCCACGAGTTTTGAAAAATTAAAAAATTTAAAATAAAGAAAAAATATCCTGAAAAAAACTCCCGTTAGGAAAAATTAAAAAATATTTTCAATGTTTGGTCCCTGAAAAATTATTACAAAAAAAATTAAAAAATAATAAAAAATAAACATTTTTTCGTCCTTGAAAAAATATTTTTGAAAAATCCACATCTGTCAGTATTTGGAATTTTTTAGAATTAACGTTTGCTTGTCCTTTGAAAAAAATATTTAAAAAAAATCATAATTTTTTCGTCTTTGGAAAAAATATTTAAAAAAATCTAAATTTTTCGTCCGTGGAAAAAATATTTAAAAAATTCTAAATTTTTTCGTCCTTGGAAAAAAAAAACTTAAAAAAAATCAAAATTTTTTCGTCCTTGGAAAAAATATTTAAAAAAAATCTAAATTTTTTCGTCCTTGGAAAAAAATATTTAAAAAAAATTAAAATTTTTTCGTCCTTGGAAAAAATATTTAAAAAAAAAAAAATTAAAATTTTTTCGTCCTTGGAAAAAATATTTTTAAAAAATCAACATTTTTTCGTCTTTGGAAAAAATATTTTTAAAAATCAAAACTTCTTCGTCCTTGGAAATAATATTTTTAAAATTCCACGTCTGTTAGTCCATGGAAAAAATATTTTTAAAAAAATATACGTTTATTTGGTCCTTGGAAAAAATATTTTTTAAAAAATCCACGTTTATTTGGTCCTTGGAAAAAATATTCTTAAAAAATCCACGTTTAGTTGGTCCTTGGAAAAAATATTCTTTAAAAAATCCACGTTTATTTGGTCCTTGGCAAAAATATTCTTTAAAAATCCACGTTTATTTGGTCCTTGAAAAAATATTCTTTAAAAAATCCACGTTTATTTGGTCCTTGGAAAAAATATTCTTTAAAAATCCACGTTTATTAGGTCCTTGAAAAAATATTCTTTAAAAAATCCACGTTTATTAGGTCCTTGAAAAAATATTCTTTAAAAAATCCACGTTTATTAGGTCCTTGAAAAAATATTCTTTAAAAAATCCACGTTTATTTGGTCCTTGAAAAAATATTCTTTAATAAATCCATGTTTTTTTGGTCCTTGAAAAATAATCTTTAAAATATCCACGTTTGAGCCTTGAAAAAATATTGTTTAAAAAAATCCACGTTTATTTGGTCCTTGAAAAAATATTATTTAAAAAAATCCACGTTTATTTGGTCCTTGAAAAAATATTCTTTAAAAAATCCACGTTTATTTGGTCCTTGAAAAAATATACTTTAAAAAATCCACGTTTATTTGGTCCTGGAAAAAATATTCTTTGAAAAATCCACGTTTATTTGGTCCTTGAAAAAATATTCTTAAAAAAATCAACGTTTATTTGGTCCTTGGAAAAAATATTCTTTAAAAAATCCACGTTTATTTGGTCCTTGAAAAAATATTCTTTAAAAAATCCACGTTTATTTGGTCCTGGAAAAAATATTCTTTGAAAAATCCACGTTTATTTGGTCCTTGAAAAAATATTCTTAAAAAAATCCACGTTTATTTGGTCCTTGGAAAAAATATTCTTTAAAAAATCCACGCCTTGTTGATCCTTGAAAAAATATTCTTTAAAAAATCCACGTTTATTTGGTCCTTGAAAAAATATTCTTTAAAAAATTCACGTTTAATGGTCTTTGGTCCTTAAAGAAATATTCTTTAAAAAATTCACGTTTAATGGTCTTTGGTCCTTAAAGAAATATTCTTTAAAAAATCCACGTTTATTTGGTCCTTGAAAAAATATTCTTTAAAAAATCCACGTTTATTTGGTCCTTGAAAAAATATTCTTTAAAAAATTCACGTTTAATGGTCTTTGGTCCTTAAAGAAATATTCTTTAAAAAATTCACGTTTAATGGTCTTTGGTCCTTAAAGAAATATTCTTTAAAAAATCCACGTTTATTTGGTCCTTGAAAAAATATTCTTTAAAAAATCCACGTTTATTTGGTCCTTGAAAAAATATTCTTTAAAAAATCCACGTTTATTTGGTCCTTGAAAAAATATTCTTTAAAAAATTCACGTTTATTTGGTCCTTGAAAAATATTCTTTAAAAAATCCACGTTAATTTCATCCTTGAAAAAATATTCTTTAAAAATCCACGTTTATTTGGTCCTTGAAAAAATATTCTTTAAAAAATCCACGTTTATTTGGTCCTTGAAAAAATATTCTTTAAAAAATCCACGTTTATTTGGTCCTTGAAAAAATATTCTTTAAAAAATCCACGTTTATTTGGTCCTTGTAAAAATTATTCTTTAAAAAATCCACGTTTATTTGGTCCTTGTAAAAATATTCGTTTAAAAAATCCAAGTTTATTTGGTCCTTGTAAAAAATATTCGTTAAAAAATCCAAGTTTATTTGGTCCTTGGAAAAAATATTCTTTAAAAAATCCACGTTTATTTTAGTACTTGAAAAAATATTCTTTAAAAAATACACGTTTATTTTAGTCCTTGAAAAATATTCTTTAAAAAATCCACGTTTATTTTAGTACTTGAAAAAATATTCTTTAAAAAATCCACGTTTATTTGGTCCTTGAAAAAATATTCTTTAAAAAAAATCCACGTTTATTTGGTCCTTGAAAAAATATTCTTTAAAAAATCCACGTTTATTTGGTTCTTGAAAAAAATATTCTTAAAAAATCCATGTTTATTTGGATCCATGGAAAAAAATTCTTTAAAAAATCCACGTTTATTTGGTTCTTGAAAAAAATATTCTTAAAAAATCCATGTTTATTTGGATCCATGGAAAAAAATTCTTTAAAAAATCCACGTTTATTTGGTCCTTGAAAAAATATTCTCTAAAAAATCCACGTTTATTTGGTCCTTGGAGAAAATATTCTTTAAAAAATCCACGTTTATTTGGTCCTTGGAGAAAATATTCTTTAAAAAATCCACGTTTATTGGGTACTTGAAAAAATATTCTTTAAAAGTTCACGTTTATTTGGTCCTTGGAAAAAATATTCTTTAAAAATCCACGTTTATGTGGTCCTTGAAAAAATATTCTTTAAAAAGTTCACGTTTATTTGGTCCTTGAAAAAATATTCTTTAAAAAATCCACGTTTATTTGGTCCTTTAAAAAATATTCTTTACAAGATCCACGTTTATTTGGTCCTTGAAGGAATATTCTTTAAAAAATCCACGTTTATTTGGTCCTTGAAAAAATATTCTTTAAAAAATCCACGTTTATTTGGTCCTTGAAAAAATATTCTTTAAAAAATCCACGTTTATTTGGTCCTTGGAAAAAATATTCATTAAAAAATCCACGTTTATTTGTGCCTTGAAAAAATATTCTTTAAAAAATCCACGTTTAATTGGTCCTTGAAAAAATATTCTTTAAAAAATCCACCTTTATTTGGTCCTTTGGAAAAAATATTCTTTAAATATTCCTCGCCTCAGACAAGTCCTTGAAAAAATATATTTAAAATAGTCCACGTGCTCTGTATCATATTACCATCTTCATTTATTTATCCTATCTAATTCTATCATCTCAAAGACAAACTTTGACATTTTTTATTTCCCAGAACTGACAATGGCATTGCCATGTTCTACAAAATAGTTATATTTAGACGGGTCATTAACCTTTCATCCAAAGCAATAAAGTTGAATTACAGAACAGCTGTGTCTGTGTTTGTATCTGTGTACTCACCATTAAGTAATTGTGTGCTAAAACCAAAGTCAGCCAACTTGAGACGATCCTCTGACAGGAGCAAAACATTTTCGGCCTTTATGTCACGATGAACGAAACCCAAACTGTGCTGTTGTGTTTGGAAAATTGTTTGGTTTTCAGATGATGGCCATAAAATGGAAGAGTAAGAGAGAGAAAGAGAAAACAAACAAATTAATGAAAAATAAAAAAAACAATGTAAAAATTATTCTTTAGCTACAACAGAGGCCAATTAGAAACGGACGAGTAATAAGTTCTCTCACACACATATACATCTAGACAAACAAACAAACATTGACACTTTTTCAAAATTACAAAATTTTGTAACGAGTCTTGACTTTCGGAGAGAAGTCACGTGTGGTTATTATAAATATTATGTTTGTATGTACATAAATTGGATACAGATGTACCCTAAGCATTTTGAAATTTACAGTGGGCTCCGGATAAAAGAAATTTAATTTTAATGGGAGAAATACATTTTCAGGTGGTTAATTTAAGACAAGGAAAATAATAATTTTAATTAAAAAAAAAAAAACTTAAAATCATTTTTTCTTTCAAAATTTTAAGTTACTCGACCACCCTTCCCTAAAATAATTCTCCTTATCCCGAGTCCCCTGTAAAATTGCTTAGCTAAGAGAACAAAAAAAAAAAAAAAAACTTGCCAACTTACCATATGTTTCACAGCCAGCAACAATTGTTTGAACAGCGGAGCTGCATGTATTTCACGTAATGGACCACCTTGGGTAATATGATTGTATAATTCACCACCGCGTATCCATTCGGTGACTAGATAGACACGACCCAGCGTTTCGACTACCTCAAAGAGCCTGCACACACACAAGCATACATACATAGAGCGGGCACATAACAGTCGTTAACGGTTGCCATTGACATTTCCATATTCATGGGTATTCCACAGCCACACCAGAATCCATATGGAGTGTGGAGAGAGGGGGGGAGAGCAAAATAAATGGCAGAAAAAACAAGAAACATTCGTATAAATAAATTAGTAATGGCAGCACGTGATTAATTTTTTGTTTGTGAGTTTTTTGATTTTCTAAAAGAGAAACATTTTTTCATTAATTCTCTGGAATGGTAAGAATTAAAATTGGGGATAAATTGATAATTTGGGAAACTTTCTGTAAAGAGATTAATATTAGGCTCTGAAATCAAATCATCAACCAATCAGAGTTAATATGTTATATATTTACATAATTATACCCTACACCACAAGGTGGTCAGGGTATTATGTCTTTGTGCATTTGTTTGTAACAGGCAAAAGGAAGCGAGATAGACCCATAGTTCCTTTTGATGATCTGCATAGAATCACATTCTGAGTCGATTTATGCATGTTCGTCCGTCTGTTCGTCTGTCCATGTATTTTTGTAAACATAGTACAGTTCGCATTTATTGCCCTATCGAGATGAAATTTTGCACAAATCATTTGTTTGGCCCAAGGACGAACTCTATTGAAAAAATATCGGTAAAAAATTAGATATAGCTCCCATATATATCTTGGTCCGATTTGCTTTTTATTGTGCACCAAACGTGTAATATCAGCCCGAATAGTATGGAATTTTGCACATACAACCAAATTAGGCCTGAAAATAAGTATGCCAAATTTGATCGAAATCGGTTCAGATATAGCTATAGCTCCCATATCCATATTGTTCATCCGATTTGTTATTTTTGTCCTCCGCAGCCGTAATATGCACTCTGTAACAACAATATTTTGGGGAAATATATCAAATACAGCTCAGAAATACATTTGCTAAATTTTAACGAGATCGGTTCAGATTTGTATATATCTCCCATATATAACTTCGTCCGATTGACCTTTTATTGTGCACCTAACGTCTAATACTTGCCCAAATGGGATGAAATTTGGCACTTACGACCGAATTGTGTCTAGAAGCTAGTATGTCAAATTTGATCGAAATCGGTTCAGATATAGCTATAGCTCCCATATCCATATTGTTCATCCGATTTGTTATTTTTGTCCTCCGCAGCTGTACTATGTACTCTGTAACAAAAATATTTGGGGAAATATATCAAATGCAGCTCAGAAATACCTTTGCTAAATTTTATCAAGATCGGTTCAGATATATCTTATTATATACCAGATATCCCATGTATCCGATTTGCCTTTTATTGTGTACCAAACGGGCAATTTTAGCCTAAACGGGATGGAATTCGGCATTTACGAACAAATTAAGTCTAGAAACAAATATGTCTAATTTGGTGGAAAACGGTTCAGATATAGCTATAGGTCCCATATGTATGTTCATCCGATTTGTTATATTTGTTCTCCACAGCTGAAATATGCACTCCGTTACAACGATATCCGGGGAAGTATATCAAATATAGCTCAGAAACACTTTTGCCAAATGTCAACGAGATCAGTTCAGATTTGGATACAGATTCCACATATATCTCTATACGATTTCAAGCCCGAATTAAAAAAATAAAAATTTACAAGAAATGGATTTAGGGGAGGATATTCGTCTGATATATTAGTTCCATTGTACTTTAAATTATAACCATAATCAAAGTTGGTAAGATGTAATTCTCCCAAATTCCCCATAAAAACTATTATTTGTTATGTAAAGCTCTACTAAATATTCAAAGTGGTGTAGGGTATCATGTAGTCGGCCCGCCCAACTTTAAGACTTTCTTTACTGGTTTTAAAAATTTATTTATTTTTAATAATCCTTCATTTATAATTTTAGACGACATTTTTGTGTAAAACACTTGAAATAAATCCTAAAATATCTTTTCTTAGGTTTCTCTTTAATGATCTCTTTTCCGTAATGCTCTGAATTCATAATACGATTTTTGACACTGGGGCGTATGATAAATACTCATGTAACACATATTACGTATACGCACTAGTACTTCAATTATATGTACACAATGGTAAAATATGGGGGACTGGTTGCCTCATTATCTCCCAGGAAAAAAAGTGCTATTACTAGAATCTTTTGTTGGAGGATGTTTGGGCGATAAGGCGAGATTTTGGAAATGTGTTCGAAAAGGTCTTAAAAGTTACTTAAAACTGCTCGATTGAGATAAAAGTTATATACTTGTGGGGCTAGAGTTTAGAAAATTAGAACATAGGTCACAATTGACACCAAACAGCAGATAAGTTGGAGTTTTCGGAAACTCGTGCCACAATAGGTAACAATACTTAATAATGGGTGATTTTTAGCTATTATCTTTTTGGCAAACCTGGGTTTAAATAGGTCACGCACGTTTCGGGTTTTGTTTTGTTTTTATTTATTTATTTATTTTTTTTTTGTAAACCAAACTGATGATGGTCTGCAATTTAACCATGAATCGTCTTACAAGCGAACAACACTTACAAATTATCAAAATGCGTGCTCTGTTGAGTAGAATCATAGAGTGCTTGTCAGCGACGCAGCTCATTTTCGCCTCAATAGGTACACGAATAAGGAGAATTGTCGATTTTCGAGTGAAGATCAGCCATAATCAATCAGTCGCAGTTTGGTGCGGTTTATGGGTTGGAGACATCATTGGATCGTACTTCTTTAAAAATGCTGCGAATCGTATTGTAACTGTGAATGGTAAGCTAATTGACCGGCTAATTGTCCTAATTGTAAAATAGTATAAGTCGGTTTTGCCGACTGATGTATACCCCCTTAGCCTTTGAGTTATGATCTAAACTGTTGACCTTTTTAGGGGGAGGTTCCGAAGCATTTGGCCAATATTGTCCTAAGACCGACATATATATTACAATGTGCCAGATTTTGACTATATCGACTACTTCTTATATTTCGAATGAGATATGTGCAAATTATTGGAAAAAGTGGAAATATGCGTGAGGTAACAGATATGGCGGACCGAAGTATTGCATTTCCATACTTCATCTAATACAGATAAAATATAGGTATGTGCAAAATTTGAAAGAAATCGAACATTCATATCCAATTTTATACGAAATTATAAATTGTGATAAATTACATATTCATATCAGATTTGTGGTCAAGAGAATTTTTTAGTTATAGCAAGTTGTAAAGAATCGCCGACTTGTTTCGCAAGTTGTGACAGATAAAAGTATTGAAAATTGTGACTCTTTGTGGGTGATGTAACTGAAAGGGTTCGCAGATCTATATCAAATTTATCCGTTGGCAAAAATTTTTGGATGTGAGAAATCTGACGAGAGGTGGATGCTTATTGCGCTTTCTATGAGCGTTTTGTTTTTCAAAGTCTTGAACCCCCATATGAGGGAGGTACCAGAAGAACTGGTACGATCTGTACCATCTTTATACCAGATCTTGGGTTGAAGGAAATATTGAGATGTTTTATGAGATTCATGGCTATTTAAAATATTGTCCCTTTGTGGGAAAGTTACCAGAAGGAGTGGACCGATATATCCTATCTTCCCAACATATCTTGAGTTAGTAGAGATAATATAATGTGTGAAATATGAAGAGAATCGGATGCTTATGTTGGATTTTATGATTGTTTCGGTTATTCAAAACTTTGACCCTTTGCTGGGGGAGGTACCAGAAGGAATGGTCCGATCTCTACCATCCTTATAACAGATCTTGTGTTGATAGAAATATTGAGATGAGCCAAGTCACAATGGAATCGGATGTTAATTTCGCGTATTATGAGCTTCATAAATATTCAAAATTTTGATCCTTTGTGGGGGAGGTACCCGAAGAAGTGGACTGATATATTCCATATTTACACCAGACCTTGGATTTATAAAAATATTTTTATGTGTGTAATTTTATTTATTATATTTTATTATTCCCAAATTTCGACCTTTTGTGGGGGAGGTACTTAATGGAGTGGACCGATATTGTCTATTTTCGCAGCTGACATAGCAATGATGCAAATATTGGGATTTGCAAAGTTTGAGTAAAATCTGATTATCCTTTCTCTTTGTGTGCAGTAAATTATTCAGAAGGAGTGAACCGATATTGCCCATCTCCAAACTTGATCTAAGTTCGCTAAAAATATTACGATATACTCAGTTTGGACCAAATCGAATACTCCCTTCGAAAGTTAGCGTGCGGGCCAAACATACAGACGGACGGACATGACTAGATCGACTCGAAATGTCCTGAAACGGTTTTGGTCCAAATAGATCCAGGCACGGTTTGAACGTATCAAATTGTATATACCCTCTATAGCCATATGGCTAAGGGTAAAAAAACGCAAAGATGTCAATAATGTTAATATAGATTTTGCAGTATTTTGTTACTTTTTTTATTTTTTCATATTTTTTTATCGCATGCGATTTTTTAAATTTGACGTATAATGTTTGTAATATTTTCTCACCTTAAAAAAATTGAAACCAATCGACACGAAATTTAGCATGAGAAGGTAGTGAAGGACAGGGAAGAAGTCTAGCATTTTGCATGGCAATTGGGTTATGTTAAGCTGTAAAATGGACCACAACAATTAACAGCACGACGTGGTGCGTAAATATTGAGCAAATGTCCCTTCGCGAAAACAGAGTAATATCTGGGAAGTACTCTATGACATAATTTCAAAAGCTAAACTTCCAAAGTGGATTTGGACATAAAGGAGCTTCTCACATATTGCAGTGTTGTAGGGTATCACATGGTCGATCCCGCACGACTATAGCTTTTGCTTACTTGTTTTTTGTTATTTAGGGGTTGAAATGGACAAAAATTAAAAAAATATATATCCTGATTTTGGAGTTGCTCTACAGGGTGTAATTATAGACCAATCGTAGCGTAATTTGGCATGGGGCTTAGGTTTAGGGGCTGGGCAAAGCCCTATCACTTCGTTTGGTCGTCGGACAATATACAGGGTGAGATGAAAAAACTGCAACCAACTTCAGACTGCTGCCATTTATAAGCCACTCGTCCGACAGCTGTTAAAATTATTCCAGTGACAGCTCATTATGCAAAAGCATTTTGATGAGATTTTTCCAGAAAAAAAGTTATTCGTGATGGGATTCAAGCGTGATAGTGTGATTTCTTTATTTTTGCCTGGAAAGCCACAAGTGGCTATCGTTAGAGCACTCCAGCATTTAAATGTGAATAAATCTTTTCTGTCTCGTACCATCGCTCGTTACCGTGATACTGGTAACCGACGTCAAGGTGGTGGAAGTGGACGGAAAAAAACACCAACATCAGCAGAAATGGTTCGAAAAAAAAAGACTAGATCGAAACCCGCGTCGCAGTGGCCGAAAAATGGCTCGTGAGTTGAACGTATGGCAATATTCCATTCGGAAAATATTGCAAAATGAGCTCGGGGTAAAGCCATTGAAATTCCAAAAAGTGCAAGAATTTACACAGCAACAGAAAGAAAATAGACTCACAAGAGCTAAAAGGGTTGCTTAGCTTGGCCGAAAGTGGTGAACTGCCGAATTTGGTTTTCTCCGTCTCAGATGAGATGACACTCGTTGTCCAGCAGTTTGTAAACAAACAAAATTATCGTGTTTACTTGCCAAAGAGGTCAGCTGAAAATGTGCACCTTCGGTTGGCCACCAGAACTCAAGTACCGGTCATGGTGATGGTGTGGGCCGCCATAACAGCCGAAGGTCGCTCTCCGCTCGTATTAATCGACCATGGCATCAGAATACATGCTGAATATTATCGCGAAAATATGTGTATTAAAGCCTTGGGCATGCCAACATTTAGGCCGCAGACCTTGGACATTCCAACAGGACTCAGCACCATCGCACACAGCACGCGCCACCCAAGAACGATTAAAAAATTAGGTTCCTCGCTTCATTTCCAGCGCACAATGTCCACCAAAATCTCCGGATACCAATCCTTTGGACTATTGTGTCTGGAGTATTTTGGAGAGCAGGGTTGGCACTAAAAAGTACCAAAGTGTCGATCACCTTAAGCAAGCGCTTCGCCGGCCACAATACCACAGAGCAACATCCGGGGAGCGTGTGACGGTTTCATTGGTCGTTTGAAGGCCATAATTCGTGCTAAAGATGACCGATTCGAACAAATCTAAACTAATTCTAAAATTTGATGATGATTTGATTTCCGACATTTTTTGCTTTCATTCAATTAAATAAAAAAAATAAAAATTATGGTGTTTGACTTTGTTGAAGTTTTTTTTTTTTGTCTCACCCTTTATATGCTCTCTAGCCATATAGCTGAGAGTATAAAAATGGATAGTCCTTACGTTTTGTATTAAAGTATGGAATTTCCAAAAATGTTGATAGGTTGTGAGGGGATGCCAGGTAGATTAAACCTATATATGTCGACTTTGAAACATATTTCAATGGAAATACTAGGACGTGATAATTAAAAACAAATGGGACTGACTACGTATATTTTCAAAGTTTTGATGAATTTTTTGGGGACAAAAACAGAGGACCGATTCAGCAAGGGCATAACCTAGCCGTGGCTGTCGATGAGAGAATTATAACAAGTTAATATATAGCATGCAAAATATAAAATATTATAATTTTACAATGCCACCCTGGTCATCAAAAAATCGGGTCTGTGAAAAATTGAAGTTGGTTTGAAAATTTTGGATTCTGAGGCCAACCCGTTGTCTCTTATTGAAAGATCAACAATTTGTGATTTATTTCGCCAAATCTAATATTGAGTTTAGAAAATTTCACGTTTTGGTACGGCTTTTATATGAAGATACCCTCGACTTAAGTAATTGTTGGTTTGTTATTTTGATTTTATTTATTTTGAGAGCCATATTTTCCAATTATTTTTTCTGAATTTTTTTTTTTTTTTTTTCGGGGATAGAAAATGTTTGAAAGTCCATAAAAGGTATTCTTTATTTAGAATGCCTTCAGCATGTTTCTGTGCATAGGAAACCCTTAAGAGGTCCTATGTGTATATAAGACCCACATGGGGTCTTCTAGAGAAAATACATCCATTTAGAGAGTTCTACATTAAACGTCTGTCCTAACGTTCCCTACAATAAGGATATCTAGTAATTCCACTTTCAATTTACTCTTCTTGAGCCAATATTTGTTTATTTCACCACCTGATTCTAATATCTTGAGGACTAATTAAATTAGTAATACTCTTGTCAGAATTATTCTTATCTACCGAAACTTGTCCTCTTCAAAGCATTTCAAAAAAGAACTCTTCAAAAATTCGAAAGTGTTATTTATCTAAAAGAGAGAAGAAAATAGTTTCAAGTACTTATGCAATTACCACTGCATACACAAATATACACACAAACAATCCTTCATACACACACATACATACAGATGCATACTTACTGACCTTAAAATATTAGGATGATGAACACATTCAAGTGTGGCAATTTCACTTGAAAGCATACGCAATGCTTTGGCATCCAGGCCGGCTCGGTCAACTACTTTGATGGCAACTTTGTCTGTGTGGTTGACGGTCGGTTGGTTGGTCGACCAGGTCCGGCAGACAGCCAGGCAATCAGGCAATGATGTAGAGAATTCCAAGAAGAATGCATTGTCACACATGGATGTAAACCATAAATAGCAGAATGCCAAGTATTTTGTTGGTAGACCACAAAATGCAGGCAGAAGTGGTGCGGTGGAGGAGGAGGGGAGGGAGATGAAAAGACAAAAATAAATAACACACGAAATTATTCCATTTCCAAGTCATCAACAATAGTTCGTTTTTTTTTTGTTTTGCTTCACTTTTTTCCGCTCTTTAATTAAACTAAAAGCCATGGTAATGTGCGTACCGGTTAGCTATTGGTTGATTGTATTTATAAATAATTTATGGCGTTGTTGTTGTTTTTACTGCTCGCTGCATTCGGACTTACCTCGTGTTAGCTGGTGTACAGCTAATTTGACTTTGGAAAAATTGCCACGTCCTATATCGCCACAAAATCTGTAGAGACCAATGCGCCGGCCAACGGTTACCTGGAACCAAGAACAAAAAATATGTAATTTTGTTTATTAAAAATGTAATTTAATTAAAATTTGTAATTCGCATTTCAGGGAAATTTTCGGAATATAATTGAGGGGGTGGATTTAAAGTGGGATTGAATTTAAAGTGGCTAACATTGGTGATAATGTTGTGAACAAAGTTTTTTACAAACATGGCCGAGATTTGAGGGTTTTTTCGGGGTGAGATGGGCTGAGGTTTAAAATAAATTTTTATAAAAATCCAAGAATTCACGACGTGAGTCCTTACAGGATATAAAAATCGTGGATTTATTTAAAACAATTTTGAACAAATAAAAAAAGCGGCTTAGTTCGACCGTCGAAAAACACCACTTAAATGAAAACCATTATATGGGAAATATTACGAAGACATGGACCTGCATAAGGATTTTTTAGCATAGGCTGTAGTATGGATTCCGAACTTCTAATACGGAATTTGAAACAATTCCGTTGAATAATGTCGCTAATATCATCAAAATACCGCATAAAGGGAGGTAACGTTATATGGGGGCTATACGAAGACGTGGACCTGTATAGACAATTTTCTCTCATTACGAGCTTCAAACTTTAAATACGAAATTTTGAAAAAAAAAATCTCGTCAAAAATGTCGCTAAAATCATCAAAACACCGAATATCGGGAGGTACCGTTATATGGAGGATATACAATATCGTGGACCTTCAAAGACAATTTTCTTACAGGCGGTAAAGTACTCAGAAACAACTCCTTGTGTGGATTTTCAGACAATTCTTTTGAAAACTAAGGCTATAATCAAAAAAAAAAGTCCGAATATCGGAAGGCACCGTTATGAGGCGGATATAAGATATAGTGGTCCTATATAGGCAATTCTCTTCCAGGAAGAAAAATACTCAGAAGGGACTTCTTGTGTGGAATTTCACACAATTAAATTAAAAATTAGGCTTATAACGGGGTCTTACGCTATTGTGGACCTATATAGAAAATTCTCTTCCAAGATGTAAAGTATCCATAAAGAACTCCTTGTGTGGATTTTCAAACAATTCTTTTAACAAATAAGGCTACAATAATGAAAATACCGAATATCGGGAGGTACAGTTATGGAGCCGATATAAGATATAGTGGGCCTATATAGACAATTCTCTTCCAGGGAGTAATGTACTCCTTTTGTGGATTGTGAGACAAATCCAAATAATCAAAATTCCGAATATTTGGAGGTACCGTTATGAGGCGGATATTAGACATCGTGGACCTATATAGACAATTCTCTTACAGGCGCTAAAGTACCCACAAGGAACTCCTTGTGTAGAATTCTAGACAATTCCATTGAAAAATGTCCCTAAAATTACCAAAATTCCTCCTGAATATCGGGGGTACCCTTATATGGGGATCATACGATATCGTAGAACGATATAGCTCATCTTCGAACTTGACCAGCCTGCACACAAAAGATTGATCTGTGCAAACTGTTAGCTTCCCATATAAATTCGTGTTGACTCTAGGGTCTAAAATTATTATCTCGGTGAGTTACAAGCGGAATAATGAATTTAATATACCCTCCATATTATGTATGGTGGAGGGTATTAAAATTGAATTTTTTCAACAATATTACTTTAGAATCTCCAGATAAAAAAAAATTACAAACTTCTGACTGCTTGTCGAAAAAGTGAGTTTTTTTTTAATATTTAAAAAAAATCCATAGGCTCCTAACTAAATTTTTTGGATTTATGAAGGACCTCTTTAATAAAAATTGTTAATTTTATTAAAACAACTTCTTATACAATTGTTGGGAGGATATTTTCTCCAAACATCATGGTATTTAAAATTAATATTTTCAAAGATCTCTTTTCAGATAAAATATTTTCAGGGATTTTCCAGAATTTCGCTTCAAAGGCAATATTTTAAGAATATTTCTACTGAGACCATCATTGATTTATTAAGAACGGACTTTTAAGGACCTCCTTAAAAAAATTGAGCCTTTTACAAAAAAAAAAAAAAAAAAAAAAATAGAGAAAATGTTTGGAAGGAGCTCCTGTCCAAATATTAGGGACTTTTTAAAGAGAAAATATTTTTTGACACTTCCTAGCAAAAAAAGTATGACCTAAAGCTTCCGAGGACTTTCGATTTTCAATCTTATTTTTTAAGGACCACAATTTTGTGTTTCTGAAGACCTTCGGACCAAAAATCGTGGGAGTTTTTTTGAATTCTTTTATAAACAAATCTTAAAAGAAGTTTTCATTCATAGTCTAATAAAAGATTTTCAAAGACCACTTAAAATTTTCAATTTTATACAGAAAATCTTTTCAAAGACTTATTGGTCAATAAATCCACGACTAAAGGTCCCAGAGGGAATATTTTTTGAAAAAAATTCGATAACATTTCATGCAAAATAATCTTGGATTTTTAAAGGAATTTCTGTTTAAAAATGTGGAGTTTTTAAGAGAACTTGCCAAAAGGTTGAGAACTATTAAGGGATTCGTGCCCAACAAGTTTTTTTCCATGACACCTCTACATCATAGCGCTGGCAGTACCTCTAGCAGAAAATCAGGGTTTTCAAAAGTATTTTGAATGAAGGAAATGAAAAATTGACTTTTTACTAACATTCTTTGAAGGACATACTGATAAAAAGTCCTGCATAAAAAATCCCTTCTGTCAATAAAACCCCAAGATTCAAGGGATTTTTTATGTTTTTTTAGAATCTACGATAGGGATATTGTCCAAAGAGCTCTTGACAAAAATCATAAATTTAATGGCTCGTGAGCTTAACATATCACAATATTCCATTCGGCAAATATTCAAAAATGAGCTTGGGATAAAGCCACTGAAATTCCAAAAAGAGCAAGAACTTACACCGCAACAGAAAGAAAAAAGACTCAAAAGAGCCAAAGAGTTGTTTCGCTTGGCCGAATGTGATGAACTGCCGAATTTGGTTTTCTCCGATTTCTCCGATGAGAAAACATTCGTTGTCCAGCAGTTTGTACGCAAACAAAATGATCGTGTTTACTTGCCAAAGAGGTCAGCTGAAATTGTGCACCTTCGGTTGACCACCAGAACTCAAGTGTCGATCACCTTAAGCAAGCGCTTCGCCGGGAATGGGTCAAAATACCGCAGAGTTTGAAGGCCATAATTCGTGCCAAAGTTGACCAATTCGAACAAATCTAAACTTATTCTAAAATTTGATGGTATTTCCGATATTTTTTGCTTTAATTCAATAAAATTTAAAAACAAAAATTAAAAATTATGGCGTTTGACTTTATCTCGCCCTATATATATTCTGAATCAGCGTAAAATTCTAAGTCGATTTAGCGATGTCCGTCTGTCTGTTACGTCTTTGTATAGCCCCCATAGAAAGGTGCATCCCTTTCTTAGATATTATCATAATCTTAGCCACATTATTTACCGGAACTGCTTCATGTACTACAACCTATGACGGAAAATTTTTCTATGCAGGTCGACGTGTGCGTATCGCCTCCAAGTAACGGTTTTCATTTAATCGGTAATTCCAAATGGTGGAGGAAATTAAAAATTCGGCCCGAAGGAACTTAACTGCTTTTGTTAAAATTTTCAGTAGAAAATTTGCATTTTTTGAAGGATATTTTTTTGGCTAACATTTCTAGATTTTTTGAGAATTTTTGGACTTGGAGATAAATATTTCTGGATTTTCTTTTAGGCCTTCGTGTATATAAATAGTGGTCTTTTTTCTTTAGATTTCCTTAGAGAATTTCTGTTCAAAATTGTAGGCTTTGCATTATTTTTTTTTATATTTTTGAATTTTTTCGTCGAAGCCACTGCTCCTTTTAACTTCTTCATATTAAAGCAGATTATGTTTTTATAACAAAAAAAAAAAAAAAAAAAAAAAATATCGAATTACGTGAAATTCATGACATGCATCTCCTTGAGCCTGTTGCAGGATTCCAGGAATTCGCCTCAATTATGTCGAGTGTACGTTTTTACAAAACGTAAACAATTTCAAATATGCAGATGTGGGCTAATATTTTCATTTCTTCTTACATCGTTCTATCACTGGCTTCTTTTCATTACATTTTGAATTTTTTCATGGAACTTGGTTCATTTTCTCATGGTTTTTTTTCCAAATGTATGCCAAGGTCATTTTCATAAATATGAATTTTCTTTTTGGAAAATTTAATATTTTTTTTTGTATTTCAGGGGATATCAAATGAAAACCTCCTTTACATTTGGGGTTAAGGTATAACGATTATAATCAGCAACCACATTATTGGGAATTTCAACCTCTCTCTCCATTTCCCTCTCTCTCCGTATCCCTCTCCCTCTCTCGTTTAATGAAACACAAATGTTAACCACAAAATTGTTATGCACAAATTAGCATTTGACGTGAAAATAATAATTTTGTAGGGAAATCTAAATAAGTTTTTCGCAGAAGCAACAGCAACCACAAGAAAATGAATATTGAAAGGGACCACCTCAAAACAGAATTGGGTGTGCATGTGTGTGTGTCTGGGTTTTTCATGCATTCTATGAAAAATTACAATGCCATACCCAATACCCAAAAACCATAGAAACCAGACAAAGCCAAACACCGACCGTACACACACACACACACACACTGACACATCTACAAGCATCCTGACTCCTCCTGAAACATGTACATGGCAGACATTATTATTCATTCATTTTGGAACCTCTGACACAACACAACCCGACTGACAAGTGAAGTGTCTTAAGGGGTCGATATCCTTACACATGTATGTACATAGAGAAATGTGTGCGTGTGTGTGTGAGTCTCTGTTATTATCTCAGACTTGTCTGTGACCGATTGTTGCTCTGTTGTTCTACTGTTTTTGTTGTGGTTCAAGGTATTCATTGTTAGTTTATCTGTTGTAATTGAAATTGACAGTGATATGGATATGGTTATGGTTATGGATTTTTACCTTGATTATTTTTGCTGATGAATATTCATGACAATGCAGAATAAGATTCAACACAGACACACACACACAAAAATAATTGTGCAAACACACA